CATTAAACGCCGCGTCATTTATTACAGACTGTTCACAGTCCGTACCGGTAAATTCACGATCCTGACGATCTTACGAAAAATAGGGGGGCTGTAAACAGTGTACATTTATTCTATTTTTCTGCATTTCCGATGCGGCGTGTATTCAAGGGTGGCGTTTTTTCGAAGGCGGCGTTTATTTCAAAATCACATTCTTAATTCACTGAAAACAATTAAGATGAAGCATTTGTAACTATTATGTAAAACAGAAAGATGATTAAAGTTCCAATGTCCCTCTGTTTTGCTGAGATAGAATCGCTACCCTTTCCCCTCCCCAGACTACCTCTCGGCTCGTTTCTCTCGCCGGTTGTTTTTTTTTTTCGTCCACGCCGATGTTTTCTCCTTTTCCCCCCAATGGGAATCCTGGTCCCAGGCTAGTCAGAACATTGACTTACCATCTCCTATAGCACAGCATGTCTATTATAACGTCCTTTCTGTATTTCATTCTGTATTCCAACGCGAGGCGACAGGCTCGCACCACTTCCTACAAAAAAGTCCGTTTACTGTGATGTTTATACACGGTCATAGAACAAAAATATTAGCACAAATTCTACCGTCAAAAGAAAGGGAAAAAATACAGAGATAAAAAGAGAAAAAACAAACTTGAAGTCAAATGATATGTGCAGTTGATACCTCTGGATTGTCCCCATTTACATGGAAAACAGGACACCCAATCATTTTACCAACATCGCTGGTATACAGAGACGACCTAAAAGATAGGGTAATTGTTAATGGCAACGCCATCTTGAGAGATCTAGTGCCGAAGTCACCTTTTCAATTTGACCTTGTCTTAAAGTGTAAAAGGCGATTCATCAACGTTTATTGATTGAAGGTCATTTTAAAAACGAAAAGAAAAGAGATTCAAAACGACGAGTAACCAGTTAGGAAGTTTGGTTTTGTCAGCATTAACATTGCTGTTGCAAATACTCGTTTCAAATGTTATGCACAATTAAAATCAAACTAGAAGTATCTATCAAATAAGTCATAAGAGCGATTTTCATTTGACCTGGAAATGATAAGGCATGAACCAAACAAAAGCGACAAACGAACAAGAAGAGAGGAATTTTATTGCTTTATATAACAGACACGAACGCGCATTGTATTCCCAGCTGACGAAATATAGCTGAAAATCAATTTTCCACATTTTGGAGAACAGAAACTGGGCTGCCGATGAAACAAACGAACGAGGCTTTCTTTTCTATATCAGGATTTCAGACGAATACGCAAAAACTGAACACTTACGGAAACCATATTTCGAAAATCGCTCTAACTAAAACGCAAGCTAAGGCCGCACCACGATTGAAAGAATTTGATGAGAAAGAACTTGGTGAGTGAAGCACAAGTCCAGCCTACAAGTGAGAGCCTAGTTTTTAAGAACCTGTCAGCTTAAAATTTGTCAGCTAGAGCTCCTCTATACAAGAACCTGTTTAGACTACAATTTAGAAATGTGTACTTTGAAGTACAGCTTCGAAATTCATGAATTTGATCAGTGCTTTAATTAATTTTTCTTATGATAGACGTTCTAAAGGATTTTGACTGATAAGCAAAGTTTTAGCAAGGAGCGTTGGGCTGAATAGCACTAGATTCTCTTAACCCTTTAAACCCTAAGAGTGAGCAGCATCAAATTTCTCCTTGCAATAACAATGCTTTGTAAAACAAAGTGGTCATGAGAATTAAGGACATGATCACACAAGATGTATTTGCTTGATATTTTATCAACTTCTCCCCACTACTTCTATAGTAAACGAACAGGGGCCACAAAGGAGAATTTTAATTTTGATCTTAGGGTTTAAAGGGTTGACTACAAAGGAATTTTTTTCTTCAGAGAGTAAGAACCTATTTAAGAACCAAAATAACCTAAATTTGCTCAAAATACCATTCTTGTAAGAACCTGTTCAGGCTAACTCGACAAAATGTAGGTTCTTAGTCGCGGATTAGCACTGCATCACATCATGATAACCACTTAATGATAATCAATGATCATATTTTCTCTCAATTGATTGTGATTCGTACCTTCCTCTCTCTCCAGGAGTAGTAAACCCAAGTTGATTATTAACTATCAAATGAATTGTACCACCGACACTAAAATGGGGCAAGTTTGCCAGGCAAAGAGTCTCGGTTACAATACCCTGTAAATTTAAATTAAACACAGAAGTAACTATTGAAACTAATACAATCACGTTTAAAACGTTTTCATTTTCGGTTGTTTAACGACAATAGAGATCTTAAGATCGAGGTTTGGCCATCTTACCACATAAGGCAAACCGTGGTTTGCGGTGTGCAGTTTCACGTTACCCGTATGCCCATATTTGTAACTTAAGATTCGCGGGTGGTAGCCCGTGTCTGCCATGTTTGTTTTCATTCATTCGTTGACTTCAATTTAAGCTTAAATATCGTCTTCAAATTACGTTGCGATGAAAAAGAATTCGATAGTATTAATAAGCAAAAGAAATCTCAAAAGTAGTATATCTTCTTAAAGGTGGGATTGTGATGTTTTACCTCTAGAGCGTGGTCTAGCCGTACAAACGTGAACCTCAAACCGCAAACCTGGCGGCAAGACACTAGTTACGTGACTTCTTGGCGTTTGCGGTTTGCGGGAAATGCCGATAAACCTTGATCTTAAGGTCTCTAGTAATTAAGGTGCCCAGCAAGCCTGGGTAAGCATTTCTACGCTCTGTGAATGGTACACTTGTAGCTTGCGCCACAGACGAAACTATAAACCACTGTTTAAGTCCGTCTGCCAGCCAGCTCCGAAATCCTTGTTCTGTTCCCCAGCGGTGTACCAGGATTTGAGTACGCGCCATGATTGGCCCGTTGAAAAAGCCATTGTTCGACTGGCCAATCAGGCTAAAGGGAAATCCGAAGCGGACTTCCCGTAATTCTTTGATGTCCATTGAGGGTCCAGAACAAGGATCTCGGTGTTGCTCTGCGGAGGTTGCTAATAGGGGTTAGATTACGTTTGTGACGCAGGTTATGTCAATAGTATCCTACACGGATCGGACTCGCCAGACGCTTTGCCGCCATTTTGGAACATTCTGGGCAACTGAAAAAGCCTGTGCTCGAATTACTACATAATCCCGGATGTTTGTCTAGTGAAATAATGACTCAAACGAAGAAGAGAAAGGCAATGGAGACAGTAAGAGGCTATTAAAGTTCAAAGTAAGTTTATCGAGCGGGGTTCAAATCAGTGTTGTTATCAGTGATGTTTTCGAATACTTTATTTCAAAAAAATAGTACTTATCCTTGGGTCTACTTTTTTTGCGCCCCATTTGACGCGGCAACGTAAATCTTATGCGGCATTTTTTTCCAAATTGCGGAAATCCCGCAAGGCCGCGCTCTAGAATATACCCTGCCTAGCCGCTTCAATTAATCGATGCATGCACAATCATGGCCATATATGATTAGAGCGCAAACGTTTTCTGTGAAATTCAAAGTAGTCAGATTGACAATCAATTCAAACTGCGCTATCAGCTGCACAATCGAGGTTTTTAAAATTATCTCCACAGTTACTCGCTGCTGAAATCTTACCTGAGCGGAAAATGAAGCGTCACCGTGAGCCATAACACTAAGAACCTTGAGGAAAATGAAGGATACATGTCAGTGCTTTATTGTAGTTATATAAGTACAATATGCTTCAGAGTTGTAGACAATTTTTTGCGTCTGAAGAACGCAGTCCTAATAGCCCTTCTAATAGCCACTATGGTCGCCCCGGAATTTTTTTCAGGGGCTTTCTCTCAGCTGGGAATTGGTATCTATGTTTTACCTCGCTAAATCACGTGAATGATCATGCACTGAAATCACTCCCCGACTCCACTTCCCAGTTGGAAGGACGGCTAACTGTGCATTTGCCACTACTGCAAAGAAACACACTTTCGAGAACCAACCTTGTCACCCGTTTGGCAGTCATGTCGATCACTATAACAACCATCTTTCAGGGTCAACTGCCTTCCTCTGGCTTTTCCTACTACAACGGGATCAACAGCTTCCAGATGGGATGGATTGGGCAGCATGGTGACATGCAACGGCCGTGTGTGACCATAGTGAAGATCCACGGAACTGGCTGCAGTGAAACAAAAAATGCACTTTATTTGAGTGTTAAAGTATTTAGCACGCGAGTTCTAATTGAGGACAATATTTACCACCATTTTTTGAGGTCATGCAAGCCACGCGAAGGTCTAGTGGTTTGCACGAATGGCAAAGGTAATTCCTTCATTTCTCAGTTATTTTAAGACCCTGGGTATTAGTCCGGCCCCGAGGATCGAACCCACGACCTCCCGCTCAGGAGTCACGCGCTTTACCGATTGAGCTAATCCTGCCTTGGTCAAGAGATGATACAAAACAAGTTAAAACACCAAACAGAAAAACACCAGACTTTGAATTGTCCAAAAATAACCCTCGACTAGTGTGTTTTTTTTTAAGGAGTGCCGGTTTGACCGTTAATCCTCAAATTGGACTTCTCGAACACAATTAAAACAGAGCAAATTTATTTAGAAGCCACCTTACAAGTGCACGGAAAGTTTCATCTGAAATCCACTCATTCAACCTGAAGGCGGTTTGAAAAGTTGGGCTGCGCCATGTTTCCTGAAATCATTGAGTCTTAATGTCTAGACATCAAATTAAACTGGCAAATTGAACTTTCACTGGGATGTAATCCGTAAATGATACACCGGTATTACTTACTAAGATGTGA